AAAACTGAATTTGCACCCATTTCTCTCAGGGCCTGCACAGATCTGGGGCTACTTCTTCCAGGCAGTAGGCCAGGGTCTGGGGTGGGCCTGTGAACCCCTCCTTCCCCCAGCCTCCCCGGCTCCCTCCTGGCCAATGGAGCCTGGGGCCAGGCTGTCCACAGGGCAGCGTGACCCCGCGACTGCCCTCAGCAACTCGGCTTCCTCAGCCAACAGCTGGGCAAATGCTCCCTCACATGCCCATCCCAATGACAGCTTCCCAAGAAAAAGGATCTTCAGCACTCAGCGGGGAGAGACAGCTTCGTGGGCACCTGCATGACTTTCAACAGCAACAATAATGTGCGTGGCATCGAGCACACGCACCCAGTTCCAGGCACCGAGGGGATGTGATGTATCACTGTCTTCATTTTATCTCATCCAGTCACTCGAGGAAGGTGTTATTGTTTTGAGTTGAAAGAAGAATAAACAACGCGAGAGCTGAGTAAGTTGCCTGAGCCACACAGCTACCACGCAGAAGGGTCGGGATTCATACGTGAGTGGGTCTGACTTAAAGTCTAGCTCATTTCACTCACGCCAAACGTTCCAAGGAATTCGGAATTCCTTCAGGTTTATGTATAAGTTATGTTCTGAGCTGACAAAACTGAGCCAGAAAAATCGGTCGTTTGTTATATCACATTCTTTAGATATTTAATCAAATTCACATTTATTTTGTATTCAAACTTATAGGGAAAGTTTATGTGCGTGGGTCTGTAAAATAATCTTGTAAAAAGTGCTTTAATTGCAGTCTATAACTACTGATACACACACACACACACACACACACACTTATCTCAGTCTAATCATTAAAAAAGGTTAATTCCATTAGAAACATCTTCTACTTTAAAAGTGTGTAAAATCCCACACACTTATTTAACAGTGTAAAATTGGACAGTGGTCATAATTTCAATTTAATGACCAAAGGAACTAGAAATAAAAAATAAAATTTGCTATATCCAAATTCAAATTTAAGTATATTTTTATCATATCGTGGTGGCTCAGAGAGGTTGTGCGTGAGTCTACGGAGGAAGTCAATGGCACCGTGGGACACGGAATCTGGGGCCCCTCGTTTCTGTTCAGGGCCACACACAGCCCTGCTCAGAGAAGAAGCCTGCGCTTTGCTTTGGACCCAGAGAGACCGGGGGATGGAAGGTGATTAGGAAGTACACCCAGGAGTATAGCTGGGCTGTTGCATTTTATACAGATACCCCTGGTGGTTCTATCACATTGATTTGCATCTGTCTTTTCACTAGACGTGGAACTCCCATAAAGTAAGAGTCGCAGCTTTTTAAAATCTGAATCTGAACAGTCCACCATAACAGTGATGGATGAAGGGGAGGATGGAAGCGGGGGAAGTGGGTGGAAGGGAAGGGAACAAAGGAAAAAAATTGTAGAAAACTTGAAGAGAAATAGAAGAAACAGGGTAGCAGATTATGGTGTTAGTGACATAAAAACATTCCACAATGTGGATGCAACAGAAAAATAGGACGGGGAAAAGGCATGTTACAAAAAAGCATGGAAACTTAGTGGAAAATAGAATTTATCTGAATCATCATTTTATTCAAATTTGGGTGATAGCTATTTATCAAAATGAAGCCAACCTTATATAATTTTCAAAAAATAATCAATGTAGAATTTTTCCCAGTCAAAATGGAGGCGCAGGAAGTAGAGCTTGTTGAGTCTAGGCTCATGTACATGTAAGACACAGCAGTTTTATTATTAGGACAGCGATCAATGGATTGGCTGTTGACTCAATGGTTCACTGGTACAAAAAGAAACAGCACAGCAGAAGTCCTAAAAATTCACTTAGAGAGAGGCATCTGTCCTTAGCTTAATCTGACCTCTTCATCAAATTTTTCTAAATTAGAAATAACTGTACCTAAATGTATCCCTCCCCCCAAATCTATCTGTTCACAAAATGGAGTGTTTAGATAAGCATTCTACTTAGATTGCTTTCAGTAGTTAGCAGCCATTTAACCATCTGAAAGTCAAGCAATCATGTAATGTAACCTGTGGCACTACATGGTGCATAAAAAATGCAAATATTGTTTACGATGAAAACTGAGAAAAGCAATGTTCATGGCATGCTGCCAAGTTTAATTTCCTGTCATGTCTTTGGCATGTAGTAAAAAACCCCTTTGTCTCGCTCTCTCAAACAACTGTACCAAATGTGTGTTTCTAAACAAATACAAATCATGTGAAAGAACCAAAACAGATTGTGTAGGGTTTGCTTAATCTCTAGATTTCCTTAAAATTGAGCATTCTGTGAAAAAATGGGTAATATTGCATCGAGCGTCTCCTCTGTAGAGAACTGTGGACACACGACAATCCAGGTTTATAAACACAGTTCACTGAGGGGCAGCTGATTTTGCTTTTCCAAGACAGTTTTTTCCTCACAGGAGATGTTACATAATTTCTTTAAACGGCAAATGTGCCTAGGACATTTAAAATAAGTTTAGTTGACAAAATCAGGACTTAAGAAAACATTTTCACGAACATTCCAGTTGTATACAAGGGAGATACACACACACACACAGATATTTTATGCAGCCAAGCATATGAAGAAGACAGAAATAGCAGAGCGCGTTTACAACCTCACTGGCCTACAGTACCCACAGAGCTTTAGCTCTCCCCTCTGCTTGCTGAAGAAAGCAGCCTGTGATGAGATGGTGACGACCACCATCATCTTTATAAATGGAAACAGGGTGCCGGTCTGTGCCCACCCTACCCAGTGCTTCTCCTGCACTATCTCAGCCAGTCCTGTCAACCAGGCGACGGGCGACCTCTGTGATCTCCACTTCCGAAGTGGGAGTCTTGCCACATTAAAAGGCTAGATAACCCGCCCAGCAGCCCGCAGCCCACGAGCCCGCGGGGCCTCAGTCTGGGGAGGCTGCCGCCGAAGCCTGTCCTTGCTCTCACCTGCTCTGTTGCTTCTCCCAACACCCAGCCAATGTGATCTTTAAAAATGTAAATCTTACCATGTCACTAAACTGGCTCAGGACCCTCTTCTGGCGTCCCTCCTCACGTGGAACAAAACTCAGACGCTCACCGCCCCTTCTGGGCCCTCACAACCTGCCCCGGCCGCCCTCCTGGAAACTGCCAGCCCTTCTGTCCTTCCTTCATGCGCTACGGACACACGGGCCTCTTCGTTGCTCCTCTACGATGCTTTGCCAGCTTTGCACGTGCCCGTGCTCTGTCACATGGCCCTTCTTTAGCCTTTCTTATCGCTCAGTCCCTCCCTTCCTTCAGGAGCCCGGCCAAACGTGGACTCTTCCACGGGGCCTTCCCTGAGCACCTTGCCGACGATGGAACCTGCCCTCACTCGCACTGGCTGTCCCTTTACTTTTTACAAAGCTTCCCCTCTCTTAAATCACACTGTACGATTATGCGGTTATTTACTGTCTTGATGGATGTCCAGTCCTTGGTGGCAGGGACCTTGCCGCGCCCCTCGGTGTCACCAGGGCCCAGCCTGGTGCCTGGACAGAAGCATGGGCTCAACATGCTTTTATGGAATGAATGAATAGAAATTCACCTGCAATGTGAAAATTTCTAATATTAAAGGTTTGTGAAATTAAACATACTACCATCAAGGGATAAGGAAGAGTAGTAAGTAATGATTAGAAGTCAAATGATTTTTTAAATGTTTCCTCATGTGTGGTCTTTGGAGTGGTGTCTGTGTGCGCATGAGTGCACACAAGTGACACAGGCTGGTCAGCAATTATGGAAATCACGGACCCACGCCTCTGTGCCTGGTGTCAGCAGGAAAGGGCCTGGCTCCGCCCTGTCTGGAGGGCACAGGGTTTGCGGGGGGCGGGGGGGTCGCTGTTTTCGGCGCTAACCCGTCAAAAGGCAGGTTGGAATGGGGTTAGGCGGTCTACGTGTGCACTAGAAGAACAGCATTAAGGAGAACATTCTGGCACAAATCCTCGGTCCTCTATCCCAGAACTCCATTAAATTCCCGCCTAACCTCAGGGACGCGGTAGGGCCTCATGGCCCTTTGAGAGACTTCCACTGTCCCACATGGCGTCCATCTCTCAGACTTACCTTGTCCCTGTTTGGGCCTAGAAATAACCCAGCTGGTGCGGGCCCAGGCCTAGCAACTGACTGAGAGCCCTACAGGCAGCACAGCGGTCAAGCTGGCCTCCGCCCCTGAGCCCCCTAGTCCTGGGGGAGCCCGGAGGCGCAGCGCCCTGTGGGGCGCAGCCAGGCCGTGAGCGCCACTCAGCGGCAGTCCGCGGAAAGGCCTGCGGACGTGTGCTGGGCCGCGCTTGCGCAGGGTGCAAACCCAGGCCCGCCTGTGTAGCGTTACATTTTCCAAAGAACACAAATAGAAGGTCTGTTTATTAACTTGAATGAGAAAAGTGTCTTCAAGACACTTGAAGTGTATTAATAAAGATAAGTGGGAATACCTGCCTAATTTTTCTTGTTCTTTCACATTCACGATGACATGAACCAGAGTTTGAAAACAGATATAATTTTGGAATAGATACTAGAGACATAATGAAAGGAGGTAGATTTTTATAAAAATAAGTACACTTTTAAGTCTATAAAATAGTTATGATTAATTTTATATGTATAATCACTACAAGTAGTTTATAACATGTATTGTATATGCTATGACTACATGAGGAGTGTTGTAAGCTGCCCGTATTAATACTGAAACAACTGTGGAGTAGCATGGAAGGAAAAATAAAAATTTAAGTTAAAACAAAGCCACTCCCTTTTAGTCTGAGATTACATCTCTTATGTTTCATGGCAGAGTAGGGTATTTCCTTTAACAAATATACCGATCAACTTCTAAAAATATTTAGAAATCTCGTGGAGAAAAAAATACAGAAGCACAGTATCACTTAAAACCATGTCCCATTAGGTCAAAAGAGAGCTAACTTCTCCCGCACACAGCGCGTCGCATTACGTTTCCTTAAACGTGGTCAATAACTTCAAAATAAGAGATGTCTCCAACTCACTAAAGATTTGTCGGGATAGACGCCAGCTCTGAGCAGAGAGGCCTTCCAGCTGTCCACGTCCTCCTGGGAGTCACAGGCCAGCTCCAGGAAGCGGTAGTCTTTGTACACGTTCCTGGAGTTCAAAAAGACCCCGCGTTAGTGCCGAACCAAGTTCAAAACGATTTTCTCTCAGCAGACCATGATACAAATGGCAGCCCAGAAGGCTAGTTCTCTCAGTCACTGGAGGGAGAACAATTGTTGTATTTAAAATGCTTTGCGGATTCCTATAGGTATGCATTATATAATTTTTTTTTTAAAGCCTCTCGTGAAAGAATTCAGAGTCGCCTGTATTGCTAAGCAAGAACTTGAGAAAATCCAAATGCTCTCAATGTGATGGCACAATCGGTGCCAACGGAGGGGAACTGTCTAAAGGGAAAGGATTTGCTGTTGCCTGGTGACTAGATCAATTTTCTGAAAGTATTTTACAAGACTAAATGGCTCATAAAACTTTAAAATGCATGGCAGTAATCTCACACACCGAAAAGACGACACTAGATCTAAAACAGAGAACACTTGTCAGTGCTGCCAAAGGAGAGCCTTCGCCAGGACTTAGCAGCGTGAGAGGCTTAGCAAGTGCAGGTTCGAAACTGGGCCAGCACTCTAATTTTATATTTCTTTGGCTAATAAGAAAATAATACAAAAGATGTAACACATGCCCATTTGAAAAGTTTGGGAACAAGGTAAAAGTAAAAATTGTGACAATCACTCTTTTTTCACTGTTTACAGATTATCTTACTTCTTTATACTCTTGCTCTCTGCATTTTCCACACAGTTGAATTTTTCTATTTTTATCATTTTTCATCTTTTTTCACTTACTATTACATCACAGTCATCTACCCACACCATTACGTCTTTATAAGCATCAAATTATAACGGCACTAATCATTATTACAAATGTATGGTAATTTCCTTAACATCTTCCTAATATTAGACAATTAAGTAATTGTCCTTTTCTTGTAATCATAAATGCTTAAATGACTATGTTAGCCATAAGCCTTTGTCACATTTACTATTATTTTCTGAAAGTAGATTCCTATAGTTACAGGATCAAAGTTATGATCATTTTTTAAGACACTGATTGATAAACATTCCAGTCACCTTTCCAGAAAGAAAATCCAGTTTAGACAGACACTAGCAGTTGCACAAGATTAACGATCTTTTCCTCATTCTCTGAAGGTGTTCTCATTTATGCCTGAGCATCTCAATTTATCCTTGAACCCAGGCGACTCACAAGTTCGTATCCCCAGTCCAGACCTGTTCCAGGTTCATACCATCTACTGACTTAGCCACGTGAGTCTCTCAAAGGCACCTTGACGTGAACAACAATTGCTGATGCCAACTTGGTGTTCCCATTTCATGCAGCAGCCGTATGACCCAGATATTTTGGGGGGAAACCTAAGCCACCTTCCACTCTCCCATGCCCCTCTTCCACTTTGCCACCTAAAAGCGCACTTCCGGTGTGCTGACCACCATCTTATCATCACCTCCTCAGTGGCCTCCCAGCGCCCCCTGTCCCCTCCAAGTTTGTTGTCCTCCCTGAACGCTCATCATGCTCTGAAGATGTGAGGAGGTATTTTCACTCCTGGCCTAAAACACTCTAACAGCCACCTGCCTTTAGGAAAAAACCACGGCCTCAGGTGCCTACAAGGGCCTGCACCGCCTGGCCCAGCACCCCCCACCCCTCCAGCTTCTTCGCACGCTCTGCTCGCCTGCTCTCTCTGCTCTGGCCACACTGGCCTCCTTGTACCTTCTCTGATGGGCCACGCTCGCCCCCAGGGCTCTGAGCGTCACGCCCCCTCCACCCGCATCTCCCCGCTTCCCTGCTGCACAGTCAGCTCCTGCTCCACCTCGGCGCCTCAGCTCCATCCCTGTGTCCCGAGACACGACTTCCCCAACACCCCTACAGGAAGCTCCTCTTTCACACATTTTCCTATTTCACGTTTACCTTTCCCTTCATGGCCCTGATCACAGGTGTGATTTCGGAACTGTGTGAGTTTCTTTTTCCGTCTCATTTACTTATTAATTTTGGTAACATCTGTTTTCCCAACTAGCCTATAAACAACATATAATTAGGACAAAAACTATACCATTTTTTTGCTCATCCATCTATACCCCGGGGATTCTGGGAAGTTTTAGTCATGTTTATTCCTTACCATAGCTCTATGCTTGGATTTAGCTTTATCATTTTGAAATTTTTTTAGAATGCTCTTGTTTTTTACGTACGCGCGTGCCCGCACGTGTGTATGGTGAGAAACAAACTGCCTTTTTGGCTTCTATATTTTTTCGCGGTTTTCAGTTCTACAGGTAAGTGATTATTTTTCAGTTTTCCAAATCATTATTTAGTTCATTTTTGTATATATGAAATACAGGAATAAAATAATAACTCTGACTTACTGAAGACTTTGGAAGCTTTTACGTTCCTCCACTTTGTCTCATGATAACTGCTAATCTGTCTGCCCAGCATTGACCTAGAAGATCATTTCTCAATTATTGTTTCCCCATCTCTTTAAGTCTCCTTTTTTCTTTTTCTTTTACTTTTGCATTCAGTGTTGTTACGCTTAAGCAATTACTTAGATGGAACTCAACGTCTAACTTACTGTTTATCATCAGCCACTTTCCACCTGGACGTCCCTGTCTGCGAACTCTCACTCGGGCTCGTGTTTTGAAGGGGCCTCCGTGTGGGCTGGCCGTCGGGGTTTCCAGGCAGGGCCGTGTCCACACTCCTCACGTTGATTCAGTGAGGACGTGCAGAAGTTTCTTTTTGTTGCCTTCTTGTTTAGCCCACTTTGTTAATCAGGGTAAAGTGCACATGCGTCCCTCGGAGACTTTCGCCCTAGGTCACGCCACGGGCCGTGGGGAAAGCCGACCGACACTGCTGCTGCCCCGGGCTTTTGAAACTCTCCGTGTCTGTCGTGTATGACTTGGTGGAGAAGGGGAAACAGAAACTTCTAATTTTTCACCATTTAAAAAAATCCATCTCATTTAATCCCCATAGCTATGCCGCCAATGTGGTAATGGAGCTATTTCACAGCAGAGGACACTGAGACTCAGAGAGATTAGGTGACTTCCCCAAGGTCACGTAGCTAATAAATGGCATGACCTGGGCCTCCCACAGTCCTCGGCCTGTGGCCTCCTTGAAACAAAAATTTGTTGAATGAATGAATGAATGAATGAACAAAAGAACTACAGAATGAACTTAGGCTGTGCTGATTTTTAAAACCACCTTTTATCATTTTTGACTGAATCCTAAACTTTCTACAGAAAATGTAAGATAAAAAAGTTTAAAAAGACAAACCACAATAAGCAGAATGAGCAATTTCAATTAAAAGTGGGACATATTTAAAGAAAACGTATTCTCCAAGTATGCAAGTTTATTTTTGGAAAATCTGAAAGATCCTATCTTTGCTACAAAGCAGACAGGGTAATGGATTGTCTTGATGGAATCAAAATTCATCAGTTTTTAATTATCTATTTATTTCTCTTCCATTTGGGTTTCCATCTGAGGCATTTCCACTGCCCAGTGAGTCCTTTAAGATGCAAAGGTACGGGGACAGCCAAGCTGGACAAATGCCACGGAGCTCCTGGCCAGCTGGATGTCACGCAGCGCAGAGGGTGCAGATCTGAAGAATTCAGCTTTGGCCCACGGTCCGTGACCTTTCTCCAGAGTATTTTCTTTCAGGGGCTCTTCAGATGGAAAAATCTTGATTTTTTTTCCTCCTCAAAGGATAGCCAAATTCTTGAGAGGGAAAATAATTATCTGGTTGAAACATTAGAAGAGGGTCAGAGACTTCTGGTGGCTTTGGCAGCTTCATTTTTACCCATTTTTGAAAATGCATCTCGGGCTGTGTCTAGACGTCCAAGGAGAGTTGGATGCAGGTTTGAAACACTGAACTGAGCTGAGTTACGGGAAGCCTCATAAATCCTGTGCAAGCTGCTTCCAGGTTCTCACCACATGCTGGAGCTGTATAGATAACCCACAGCAATTTGTACTGACTGCGTTTTTTTGTTTAGTCTATTTCAGCTGCAACCATGCAGATATGAGCTTCTGAATGATTTTGCCATGAAATCAAGCTGGACTATGTGTTTTACAGTTTGAAAAAATAAAAGTCACCTCAACATGAAAAATGAGCAGGAGAAATTTTATCCTGCACGTAAAGGGCTTTTAATTGCTATACCCGGAAGAGAACATGACCACGTGATGAGACCATGTTTTGATTATACGTATAACTTTCAGTCACATCTCATAAGGGCTATGACAGCTCTTCAAACATCTGAGACCAGATATTATGTGTCCCCCAAGTCTTCCCGTCCCTAAGCCAACCCTTCTGCCAATTTTTTCAGATGTTTCTAATATGAAGGGGTTTCTAGATAACACAGCCCTCCCATGCATGTGTTCTACTTTAAAAGGGTTTTCTAAAAATTGAAATGCCAACAACTGATCGCAAATCTCTAGCTGCAATATTGCTGGAATTTTTGCCTGCCTTCTAGATAGCAGGCTTTTACGAATGTAAGTAAAATGTAGTAGAATATAGTTGAGACCATGAACACCTGTCGAAATGCACGACCCGGGTAAGGCGGCCTCTCCGATTTTAGCTCCCTCATCTATAAAATGGGGATCCATAACCGTATTCCCCTCAGGCTAACTGTGATCATGAAATAAGGTTATACGTGTGAAGAGCACTGCTTCACATCGCGCCCAGCAATAGATAGATACAAAAGTAAAATATACAAATGACAAAAATCACTGCGATGCGTTATTCTCGCTGCCTTTAGGCTCCCTGCGTTTCCCCTTCCGTACGACCAGACTCTCCCGTGCTGATCACTCACGGCCAAAGGGACGAGATTCTTTCATTGGGCTTCACTTGATATTCTATTATTGACATTTCCTTTTCTTGACATAGTCAAAAGCAAAAAAAAAAAAAAAAACCCAAAAGAATTAAAATTTTAAATAAAAAATTTTAATTTTTAGAAAAAAATGTTTTAAAATATGAGATCAAAAATTAAAAACTAAGATATCAGAGTATCACAAAACGCGTTTGCTGTACGTGTAGCGGCAGGACGGGCTGGGGGCCA